TCCCCCCCGACCCCGTCATCCACATCGGGCTCGCGCTCCCGCCATTGTATACATCCCAATTCGAGCGAGAGTGCGCCCATGCATACACAGCATTGCCATCCACTTTGATAACAAAGTACGGCACGCTGTATTATCGTCCCAAGCGCCCTCAGCATACGTTAACTTACTGCGCGCAGCTCAAGCTGCCATCAGCATGCAGATGAGATTGGCACCTGCTGCGCCTCATGCTACTTGCGGTCATCATCGTCATCATCATCAGTTGTTCTATCATCATCACCACCACCAAGATCATCATCACCATCATTATCAGCCTCCTCTTCCTCCTCATTCTCATTATCACCATCATCATCAGCAGCATCATCACCATCATCGCCATCACCATCATCATCATCATCATCATCATCATCATCATCATCATCATCATCATCATCATCATCATCATCATCAGCATCAGCATCAGCATCAGCATCATCATCATCATCATCATCATCATCAGTATCAGCATCAGCATCAGCATCAGCATCATCACCATCATCGTCATCATCATCAGCTTCAGCAGCATCATCATCATCATCATCGTCGTCGTCGTCGTCGTCATCATCATCATCATCACCATCATCATTCGTAGCCATTTTGGCTCAAAGAGCCACGCCGGTGTGGCAGCGGTTTCCCCGTTCGAGCTTCGCGCTGTTCTGGCTATTCCCTCCTCAGTTGGCCCGTTCGAGCCCCGCGCTGTTCGGGCAGTCATGGCAGTCGCGGCGCTGGACGCTGCTGCCGCCCTGGCGCCGCTGGTTCGAGCGGCAGCCGAAGGCGCGGCAGCGGGGGGCGCTGCGAGGCGCGGCATCGCGGCCGCCGTGGCCGCCGCGGCGCGCGTCGGTGCTGAGCTGATCGGGGGTTGGGCTGCAGATGGAGCTGGCGATGAGAAGGACGCCGAGCTCGCCCTGCGGCTTTGGGCCATCAGGCCAGCCATGGCGCGCCTGATCTGCGGCGAGAGGGCTTCGGGCGCCGAGCGGGCGACTCGGAACTTCAGGGCCCACGCCTTCCTCGGTGAAGACGCCGAGGTCCTCGAGGCCGCGCTCGAGCGGCCGCAGGCCAGCCAGCGCCGTGGGCGGTCTGGCGCCCTCGCCCCAACGGATCTGGGGGCTCTCAGCCGTCCCCCCCTCTGAGGCGGGATGGCGACCCAGCCTGGAGGCGAGGCGCCGCAGCATGGCGCCGCCCACAGACGAGTGCGGCTACAACGGCGATGCGAACAACGACGATGACGGGCACCAGCAGCACGTGGACGAGCAGCAGCACGTGCTGCTGCACAGCCAGTACGAGATCAAGTACGGCGTCGGCGACGACGAACTCGAGGGCTACGACAGCGATCGCGGGCCCGATGAGGTCAGGTTCGGGTCCAAGCACGAGCTCGGCGAGTGCGCTGGCGACGGGGCGCAGGACGATGATTCCAGGCACGTCGACGACGACACCCTCGGCGACGCCTGCACGGGCGAGGACGGTCTCGGCTCGGGCGAGGTGCAGGCCCGAAGGCACCCGGCGCCTGCCCGCCGACCACGGCGGTGAAGGGGGTGGAGTGCGAGAGGGACTCGGCCGACGATGATGACGCTGCAGAGGATGAGCCCCTTGACAGCGACCCGTCGGAGTACGCTGCCAAGCACGACGGGCGAATGCAGCCAGGTGTTGCACAGCAGGACCTCCAGGAGAAGGTCGGGATCGGCTACGCGGGCCCCGCGAGGGAGGTGCACTTCGAGGAGGAGTGCACGTGGGCGGACTCCCAGCAGGTCCAGGAGCAGGAGTCGGAGGCCCAGGACAAGGCTGCATCGGAGCCCGCTCTAGCCAAGACGCCGATGCGCGTGGGCACCTAGGCGGTCTCCGAGCAGCAGTCCGACGTCAACCAGCAGCGCGACTCCGAGCAGCCCGAGGAGCAGCAGCAGTTCCCCTCGGAGCGGGCGGAACTCGTGGCGCTGCGGGCCAGATACAACGGGCTGATGGCTGGGGTTCGCGTCGCCTTGGGCGCCAAGCTGCGCGCAGCCCGCGAGGCGCGCGGCAGGCGCTGACGGGCGCGACCTGTCCCGACAACTTTCTCACATTTCTTGTGCCGCGCTCGCGCGGCATCTGCCTTCAGGTAGTTGTGGCACCCTGCGGCTCGGGACCTATCGGTCTGCCGAGCGCGGTGCCGTATGCTCGTGGCGCCAGGCGGGTCCGAGGATCACGAATGCCTGCGACGAGCTTGCGAGCTTCGAGGGGTGAGGGACCCCGTGGCGTAGGCCGTGCCCCTCGCGGCTCGGCACACGTCAGGTTTCACTCACTCCTGCACCTCTTGGGCTCGCTGCGCTGCTCTGTCCGTGCCGTTTGGCACGTCGAGTGGCGCTTGCGTTCTGCAGCTTTGCTGCGTACAAGCCCGCCTGTCTTGTGCGCTGTTCTCGCGCCAGGGCGCAGGCCGAACCGAGGGGGTAGGTGGCTTGCTACCGACCCTCTGGATCGCCTCCGAACGCCATCGCAGAGCAAGGTTGTCCAGTGGGTGGCCAGGGGCCATGGGGACAGTTTTGCTCTGCTTTGGCGCGTGTGTGCTGCTGAAGCGGGCTGAGTCGCCGTGACTGCTCGGATGCAGTACTATCGCTTGCTTCGGCTGGGGCGGTGGGCGGCCTCTTGGCACTCAGGTGAATCTGCGAGGGTGCGCTGAGGCGCGCGATGCCGAGCGTTGCCGCTGCAGGGCCAGAGAGAAACGCTTCGGTCCGAGGGGCAGTGCGAACTTGGAGCTCCTGACCTCTTTAGATGCGTGGATCATCATCACCATCATCATCATCATCATCATCATCATCATCATCATCATCATCATCATTCTGGCCGCTGCCTCCTGGAAGCGGTACGACCACCAAAGTCACCACCAGCATCACTACCATCATTGTCCGCCCTGACCGCCTCGGCATGCGCTTCGCGCAGCAGGTGTCGGCCAACTTGTCCAGTGCCTTCGCGGCGCGCCTGGCAGAGCTGCCGCTGGCGGTGGCGCTGGACGCCGGGGTGGACCCGCGGCTGGGCGCACGCGAACTGCCCAGAGCGGCCGTCCGCTCAATTCATGTGATCTGATCGATTGACGTGCCATTGCCAGGAGAGTGCCCGATCATCGCTGTCATCATTGTCATCATCCTCTGGCCCCACCTGGGCGGACTGGAGCTTTGCGCACGGGAGATGGGGCGTCCGCGCTTCCCGTTTCCTGGCGGGGGAGCTCGCTTGTCGGGGCCGGGGCTCCCGAAGACTCCCAGAAACGTCCAAGACCTTCTCGATTTGCGATCCTTTCCCTGGATTGTCGATTTCACTATCATCGTCATCATCCTTTGTGTTATCTTCATCGCCATAGTTTGCCCATGTCCACCATTGCTTCGGATTCGTGTCGTGGGATCTGGAGGAGCGGCAGACATGGACAGGTTTTGACAGTGCGTTGTCGACATCATCGTTTTGATCGGCATCATCGTCGTCGTCCTGCTCCTCCTAATGATCATCGCCTTCGTCACCACCACCATCGGCATCACCATCATCATCATCATCTCATCATCATCGTCATCATCATCACCATCATCTTTTGCATCTCCATATTCATCATCTTCATCTTCATCCCCATCCCATCTCCATCTCCATCTCCATCTTCATCTTCATCTTCATCTTCATCTTCTTCTTCATCTTCATCTTCATCTTCATCATCTTCATCTTCATCTTCATCTTCATCTTCATCTTCATCTTCATCTTCATCTTCATATCAGCCAGCGTTGACCCCAAGTATATTTAGACGACTGAAACCAAGGAATCAGAGGAACCATGCATGCTTGGAATCCGCAACTCAGCAAGCAAGCAATCGTGCAAGCAAGAGCGCAAGCAAGCAATCAAGCAAGCAAGCAAGCAGGCATAGGTATAGGTGTAGGCATAGGAGTTAGGAGGAGGCATGAACATAGGCATAGACATAGCCATAGGAATTGGGGGGGCGTGCATAGGAATTAAAGGGGGGGGGGTGCAACGGACCAATTAGTAGGGTTTGAGCTAGGACTCCTATAGGGCAAGCATATTTGGAGAATCTCCACCTTCATCATCATCATCATCATCATCATCATCATCATCATCATCATCACCATTACGACGATTATTTCAATCATCATCATTATCACCATCATCACCATCGTCAGTATCATCATCATCATCACTATCACCAGTTATTATCAGCATCATTCTCCTCCTTATCATCACTCTCACCATCATCAGCATCGTCATCATCATCATCACCACCATCATCATCATCGTAGTCGTCGTCGTCGTCAGCATCGTCATCAACATCAGCATCACCATCACCATCATCATCATCATCATCATCATCCATCTCATCCTCATCATCATCATCACCATCACCATCATCATCATCACCATCACCATCACCATCACCATCACCATCACCATCACCATTACCACCACCATCACCATCGCCAGCATCATCATCAGCATCACCATCATCATCATCATCATCATCATCATCATCATCACCATCACCATCACCGTCACCATTACCACCACCATCACCATCGCCAGCATCATCACCAGCATCATCATCAGCACCATCATCATTATCATCATGATCACCATCGCCGTCACCATCATCATCATCATCATCATCATCATCACCACCATCATCAGCATAATCATCATCGTCATCGTCATCATCATTCTCATCATCATGATCATCATCATCATCACCCTACCAATCACCATACACATCACCACCACCGTCATCATGACTGTCATCGCTTGTGTCGGACGCCTCGGCAAGAGTGTCGCACGGCAGGTGTTTGCCAAGGTGTCCGGTGTCCTCACTGCACGACATGTGCCACTCATCAAATCATGGTTCGCCATATGAAGACCCTTGCGCTCCGTGCGTAGGTGGCACCCGGACTCGCCCTCAAGCTACGGCGACTTCTCCTTCCCTCCTCCTTTATCCTCATCCTCACCCGCGTCCTCGCAGCGTTTCGGGCTCAGCGGTTGAAGCGTCGCTGACGCTCGCTCCAGCCCCGAGGACTCGGGGGACGTGGTGCGGCGGGCCAGTGCTCCAGGGCGCTCGGGAGGAGGCGGAATAGATGGATGTATGGATGGATGGATGGGCAGACGGACGAATGGATGGATGAATGGATGGATGGATTGATGGATGGATGGATGGAGGTGGAGGATGAGGATGATGATGAGGAGGAGGAGGAGGAGGAGGAGCAGGAGGATGATGAGGAGCAGGAGGGGGGGAGCAGGAGGAGGGCGAGCAGGAGGATGAGGATGAGGATGAGGAGGAGGACAACTGCACACCCAAGAGTCACCAACGATGTTGGAATAACCCCCCCCCAAGCTCCCTCGACATAGGCCCCTACAACGGTTCATTTCCACAGAGGGGTCTGCCTCGTTGGAGGACAACCGTTTGAAGATCCTGGAGCATGCCAAAGCATTGTTCTCGGGAGTCAACGCCACGGATAAACTTGACTTTTGCGCCTTGACGGTCCTGAATCTTACCAGAACGCCATTCCTGGGGCTTCAACACCGCGAATCATCGTAACTGTTGCGCCCTCATGATCGTGAATCCTTCCAAACACCATTTCTGGTACGTCGATCATGGGGAATCGTGAAACTCTTGCAATTTGCTTAAACGAATGTACGCGGCGTTACGGCGAGAGCCACATTTTGAAAAGGAGCCACCCTCAATTCGTGATGCTCCTGCAAATTTTGACAACGAATGTGCGCGGCGCTAAGGCGAGAGGCACATTTTGAAATCCACTTGCCCTCAATCCGTGAATGTTTTGCAACTTTTGATAATGAATGTGCGCGGCGCTAAGGCGAGAGCCACATTTTGAAAACCACCTGCCCTCGATCCGTGAAGCTCATGCAAATTTTTAAATCGAATGTGCGCGGCGCTCAGGCGAGAGCCACATTTTGAAAGCGATCCGCTCTCCATCTGTGAAGCTGTTGCAGTTCTTGTAGCTTCAGGGTCATACATGATGAGAAAGTCTCAGGCGAAACGCCCGGCCCGCCTTAAAAAGGCCTCGGGGTGCGACAGGGAGAAGATATTTTTAAGGAAAAGGAATGGAGGGTGAGGAGGATGAAGAGGAAGAGTAGGATGAGGAGGAGGTTGTCGAGGACAGGAGGAGTGAGGGGGACGAGGATTGAAAAGGGGGGGTCAAGGAGTCTTGGTGTCTTGTTCTACAGGTGATGGTGTTGGGTAGCGTCAGTAACGGCGGGAGAAGGAGGACGAGCAGCAGAAGGCACGACAGGCTTTCTGGTGCATGGCCGTAGCAGAGGGAAGGATGCGGCCATCTACATGAGCGGGAAGCTGACCTTTGGAGGTCGATATGTGGTCTACGAGGATGGGGTCATCCTTTTCCCTCTCTTCCTCCTCCTCCTCGACTTCCTCCTTCTCCTTCTTCTGTTCCTTACCATTTTCCATCCAGCGTCTTCTGAACGCGCACGGTAGGTCGCACACGTCCGAGGTCTCAGTCTCGGGATGTGGTTTGTTCGATGTGTTTCGGCTTTGTCCCGACACCGCTCCGCTGCCGCCGCCGCCGCCTTCCGTTCCTCCGCTTGTAACACGCCCGACGATCATCTCGGAAAGGTTCGTGCTGCCCGAGTGGCGGCCGAGCTCATCTCTCGCCGCGGCACGGTCGCTTGGCGATTGCGGTGGTCACCACGGGCTCCCTCTGAGGCACCGGGTCTTCTCCTCGCCTCCTCCCCCCAAGGAGAATGTCACGGAGGAGGAGCAGGAGCAGGAGGAGGAGGAGGAGGAGGAGCAGGAGGAGGAGGAGGAGGAAGAGGATGAGGAGGAGGAGGAGGAGAAAGCTGAGGAGGAGGACGACCAGGATGGGGAGGAAGAGGATGAGGAGGAGGAGGGGGAGGAGGAGGAGGAGGAGGAGGAGGAGGAGGAGGAGAGAGGAGGCGAAGAGGAGAAGCACGGGGAGGGAGGAGGAGGATGAGAAGGAGGAGGAGGAGGACGAGGAGGAGGAGGCTGGAGGAGGAGGAGGAGGAGGAACAACATGTTTTAGATTATAGCGTTCCGACCGGGCGGACAGGATCCGTTATGGATTCTGTAGAGATGTTTGTTCAGGGATTCCAGTTGTGCATGTTCGTCGTTGACCGCCACTGTTTGGCTTAAATGCTATTCGCCTTCTCGTGAAAAAGCTCCTACATATTTTCATCGCAGCGGGGCCCGTGGTTCGCTCCCACGGGTTCCAGTGCAGTGATGGCGGCGTCGGCAGCTGCAGCTGCCCAGGCGAGACCTGGCGCCAACGATCTGGGCTTTGATGTATCGTTGCCTGAAGTGCGGAGAGCCTGGTACAACCTAGGCAAGAACGGGCCCATGGAATTATGCAGCGCAGGTCACAAGAACGGGGACTTCAGGTACGTTGACACCGCGCTCATGGCCAACCACGAGGGCATGCAATCGGTCTTTGATGAACGCAGCGCCACACAGGGCACCTGGATAGTGGGCAATGATGGAGCATTCACACTGCTGCAGATGAGCTACAAGATGAACGCCCTTCTGATTTCAGTTATCTAATGGCCTTCGGCCGATCCCGCCACAGTGCTTGGGTTGTGGGTATTGAGCCTTTTGGATGTTCGTTGGGAACTCGTGGGGGTCCCCTCGGGGGCCTCTTGGAGGCCTCTTGGGGGCCGTTTTTGGGCCTCTTGGTGGCCTCTTTCGGGCCCCCTTGTGGCCTCTTGGGGCCTCTTGGGGGCCTCTTGGGGGCTTCTTGGGAGCCTCCTGGGGGCCTCTTGGGGCCTCCTAGGGGCCTCTTGGGGCGGAAGTGGTGCCTCCCATACCTGGCGTTGCCAGCCCTTGACCGGCATTGCGGCTTGGCGTGCCCCAGCGTGCCCCAGTTTACAGCTTCGTGGCAGCGCTCGGTTCTGCATCCCATGTCGTGCCCGGTTTGTCCGTGCGGCCGACGTGTGGGTTCGGAATCCGGCAACGGCATTTCAGGGCTGCGTTGTGTGCCCACCGCTGTAGCCTCGCCGCCCCCTGCAGGTTAATGATCTTGCGCGTGCTGGCGCATGGCTGCGCAGACAAGTCCGGCTCGCTAGTCTCCCTCCTTCTCCTCCTTCTCGCCCCGAGCGGTCGTGCCGCCTGCGTCAGGCAGAGCATCGACGCAGTCTCACTCAGTGACCAGCATGCGTTGTCTCCGCGCCAGAGCATGCTGCCTGTGCCCGCTGCTGCTAGCGCTCATGTGTTTGATTCTACTCGCAGTGCAGACTGGCGAACAGCGGTGGTTGGAGCTGCTTACAACAGCCCTGGCAGTCTGGCCAGTCGTATTGGCCTGCGCGCGCACGGCCGCCTCTGGCGGCCCCAGACTATCGTAAGCTTGGCGTTTTTTTGTTTTTTTGTTTTTTGTTTGTTTGTTTTTTTTCGCAACCTCTCACGAGAGGCGCTTGGAGCGCGAGTGAAATACGGCTGTCGTGAGAGCGCAGCGGATCTTTACATCGTGTGAATGAGCGCGATCGCGCTCAAGATGCCCCTCCCTATTTCCCACCCTCTGCACAGGCGGAGCTGTTTGAAACAGTCCTGGCAGTCTGGCCAGTCCGACTGGGCTGCGCGCGCACGGCCGCCGCTGGTGGCCCCAGACTTACGGCCTTATTTTCTCGCAGACCTCTCATCAAAAGGTGCTTGGAGCGCGAGTGCAATGCCGCTGTCATGGTGATGATGCTGGTGATGATGATGGTGCTGATGCTGATTATGATGAGGAGGAGAGTGGAGAGGAGGAGTAGGATGATAAGGAGGAGGAAGAAAAGGAGGAGGAGGCGGAGGAAGAGGATGATGATGATGATGATGATGATGAGGAGGAGGAGGAGGAAGAGGAAACTGATGATGCTGCTGATGATGCTGATGATGATGATGATGATGATGAGGAGGAGGAGGAGAAGCACGGGGAGGGAGGAGGACGGAGGAGAAGGTACGGTACAACACTGTGCTCTTTAGGATCTTCTAATGGGCTCAGAAACTCTCGGCCCTCATTTTGAAAACGGTGAAGTACTTCATTACCCCGCTTCATTACCCCGTTAAGCGGCTCCTTCTCCGCCGAGCTGGCAACAAAGTACTCGGAGGCCCTTTCGGAACTGGCCCCTGAATGGTCCGCTTTTGTCGTGGTTCCTTGCTTGAAGTACCTGGGGATGTGGTTGGGGCCGAACTCGTATGACAAATCGTGGCTTGGGTCTCTTGGGAAATGGCGCTTTCGGAGGCACCAGTTAGCAATAGCCAGCCCACCCACCCAAGTCGCTGCCCTGCTTTACTCATCAATATGTGCAACGGTACCTTTGTATGTTGCCCAGTTCTTGCCGCCACCGCATCAGCTGCTCGGGCAGGAGGCCGCGATGTTGGCCAAGGTTTTCCACTTCCCTCATTGTGCCCTGTGCCCTCAGCAGGCTGCGATGGTTCAGTATGGGGAAATGGGGTGGACCTCGTAATCCTTCTATCACCCTCTCCGCCTACGCCGCCCACGGTCGCGCTGCCCTCTCTACCTTCGCTTCCTGTTGGCCGAGGTTAGTGCGGCGCCTTCGAGAGCAGGCCCTCAGGAGGCTACCGATCTTAGCTGTTGTGCGCGGTGAATGGGCCCCGCATTGGTGGGGGGAGCCCGCCTTGTGCCAACGTCTGATGCTCGCCGCTGCTGGCTTTCCCGACGACCCCAAACTGGAGCATCTGGCACCAGGGTATGAGGAGGTTCGAGGACTGATGGCTGAAGCTGCCGCTGCGGCCCGCGAGGGCCGCCGCCCGCGCAAGCTCCGTATACAGCGAACTCTGATGGCCTCATCCACGGCCGCCCTTTTTCCCGCGGACGCCCTTAGGTTTCTCTTCTTCCGACGGTTCTGGGGCTGGTTCCCCGACCTTGGGCCTGAAAATCGAGGCCATCCATTGGCCAGCGGTCTCTCTGAACATGTCCAAGGTCAAAGTCTCACGTGCGCTTGCCAGCGCGCGAGCGCTCTCGAAGGCCTGGCTCACCCAACGCAGGTTCCAGCAGAAGGGGGCCACACGTGTTCTCGGCTGCGCTGCCGCCGAGTGCACGAGGCACTGCTGGGCGTGCCCGGCATTGCGGGAGTTGCTTGTCGAGGTGCTGGCCGAGGGTCTTGGGGACGCGGATGGGTGGGACGGGATCGACACGGTCGGGCTCCTCGAGCCGTCGCCAGCGCGTCTCGAGGTCCCTGTGGCACTGTGCCTTCTTCATGCTAAATTAAGGGCCAGACGTGCCCGCATCATGCGGCCCCTGGCCCGGAGGGAAGCCGCCGCACTCGTCCCCGCAGTGCGCGCTCGGCTTCGGTAACGCGCGCGGGTCAGGGCGGACAGACCGAGCGCTCGGCCGCGCGCGAGGAGGACGGAGGAGAAGGAGGAGGAGGAGGGGGGGAGGGATGGGGCGTGAGCAAGGAATGACTGGGGGAGCAACGCTGGTGCCCTGTTTAAAGAGAGGGCCCATGACAGGAACGTTGGGGTCAAACACGTCTGCGTCGGTGTACACACTGCGCCTTCCCAGCCTGCAGTCCGGTCAAGGCTGGTCTCCATGCTCGGCGGCGAGCCCGGGGGGAGCGAAAAGGGGCGGGCCCTCACAGAAGGCTCGGAAGCCCCTGGGCCTCCTGAGAAGTTCTCTGGGCCCCCCCCCCCGAAAACGGAGAACAGTTCCCAGAGGGCGCGAGGGCATCGGAGAAGTTCCGCCGCGGTCGGAGAAGGCCCCCCCCTCGCTCGCCGCCCCCCCTCGCTCGCCGCCGGCTTCCGGGCGATGGCTCGGGTCTGCGGCGGCCGCTCGGGACGGGCCGTGCACCGCCGGAGCGCCCCCGGCCGCGGGTGCGGAGGCGGGGCCTCGAGGGCCGAGGATGCGGAGGGCGGGGAGGAGTCGTGCTCGCGCGCGACGGCGGCTGCTGCCGCGGAGGGGCGTGGGGCGGGCACGCGTCCAGGTCCTCGGCGAGGGCAGTTTCTCCGTGGTCTACAGGGGCGTCGACCTTGATACCTCGGCCGACGTCGCCCTGAAGATCTACAGAAACAGCCAGGAGGGCCCGGTGAGGAGGGCCACTTCGCCTCCTTCGTCTACGCTGGGGTCTCCTCCTTCTCCTCCTCCTTGCCTTGCGCGTCATCCATCTCCTCATGCTTCTCCCTGTTTCTCTTTGGAGGACACTGCGTCCCTCGCGCCCTTGGGCCCTCGATGCCCCACTCGCGGGGGGCAGCTCGGTATTTTCGCTGATGCCGCCGAAGGGGCGGCAATGGACGTTTTGCGACCTTGGCACTCCAGTGCTTCGCGCTCGAAGCCACCAACGAGCAGACCCGAAGTGATCCAAGCAGGGTCTTGCCAATGAGGGGCAGCAGCGGCAGCAGCAGCAGCAGAAGCAACAGCGCGCGCGAACTCTTCTTCCCTCTCCTCTCCCGCGCTGCACCTCCTACTCCACCTCCCCCCAGGACTCATACCTGGAGGTTGCTTCTCCTTTCCAGAACTCCGACGTCGTGTTTTTTTCGCAGCATGGGCCCCCTGAGATAGCTGGGGTTGTCGTCCCGAGCAGGTCTTTCGACGGTTCTGTGGCCCAGGGAGAGGAGCCCCTGGAGGCCGAAACCTGCCAAACCTCTCGCGCCGTAGTGTTCCACCATGCGAGGATGTGGAGAAGGGCTCAGCTCCCACGTCGCGCTCGCCTCTCGCCCAGAACCGGGCGTCCGCTCCGAACTCTTCTCCCGCGCGTCGAGGTGCGCCCTTGAGATGCCCCCGGCGGCGGGTCCCGCTCCTGCAGATCGCGGAGCAGGTCCGGATTGTCGATCGGGGGAGAAAAACCACCAGGACCCGACAGTTAGCGTTCACGAAACGGCCCTGGGCGTTTACGAAACGGCCCTGCCCTGTCGGATTCCTTTCTTGGGGTGCGTTGACTGGACGGCTCCGCGTGTCGGGCTGATTCTTATGCGGGTGGATTTTCTGCTCCCCAGTCGAGACAGCGAAAAACCCAACCCCGAAAAAATACCCCCCCAGCTCGAAAAAAAGCCCAGCCAACCCGAAACAAAAACCCGCGGAGGTTTTTTTTTTTCGGGTGGAGGCCGTTTTTTTTTGTTTTTTTTTTTGTTTGTTTGTGGGTTGGAGGCGAATACAAAAAAAAACACCCTTTCAACCCGACAAAAAACCCAGCTCCAGCGTGGAGTGGGGGCTCCGCAAACCTCCCGCCCGGTGCACGTCGCCAGACGGAGGGCACTGGCCCCCTCTTGGCGGGCGGGCCGAGGCGGACCCACGGTTCCAGCCCGGCCTGGCAGCCGAGCCCGCGGGGCGGGAAGCCACGGAGGCCTGAGCTCGGCGACGCGTCGCCGCGTCCAGCTCGAGGCTCCGCCCCCGCCCCTGAGCCGGTTTCCCCCCCTCTGTATTTAAGTCGGGCTTGTCCCTCTACAGGGGAATCTTCAAAAAGAGTAAAAAAATTGTGTGGGGACTACTTTTTGACCCTCTTTGAGCGTTTTTAGGGCATCTTTTGGGTATTTTTAGTTTCGGACG